CGGTGGTTTGTGCAACAATCATAGTGATTTACATTGCTTTTTTTCTTTCAGAGCAATAACAAAAGTCTATGGGATAGCACTTGAAATAATTCATATACATAGTCATTTAACATAGATCATTTCTAGTTGAGTATAAGCATACATTCATGGGAACAATCTGTTTCATTCTTCAAAGTATGTTTCTACTTTGGAATGAAGGAGAAATTATAGGGAAACATTAATTCAAAAATCCTTTGAAATAAGACAGTTCAAACCTAGGACCAGGGAATCACATTGCACTGCCTCCCAGTGTGATATGACTGTGCTTCCAAGTATGCATCTAATAAAGTTAATTAGTGGAAATATTTGAAGTCTAATTTTATAATCCACATTTAAGTCAGACCACTCACAATCCAACAAATGATATAGCTTTAACCTGAAAAGGCCTAATAGATTTTCCCACAAGATGTTGTACAAAATACCCTGTCACACAAGGTACTCGAAAAGCAGTCGACACTGCAAAAGAGATACCTGTGCATTACTCTTCCCCCTCCCACTCTGGCTTTCAGCACCGCTTTTTGAGGCTTCCACAGGAGGTAATAAGGACTTAGCAAGCAGGTTTCCTAACCAATATATTAATTCACTTGAAAGTCATACTTTAAAATAAATCAGTAGTGTATACGTTGAGGGGAAAAAAAAAAGCATGTTCACTTCGAAACAAGTGTGGCCCTCTGCATGGCTCTCAGATGCCTGACACCCTACAGTTTTGTGAGAGAATTGTTAGCTGTAAAGCTGTAAGGGCAGTTATTGGTACTATAAATGTACGCTTGATTCAAGTACACTGAAACACACACATGTAACAGATAGCTATTAAGAGACCGTAACCATCCTCTGTGCATTTTAAGGTCAATAGTAACAGAGAGGAGGGAGAAAAATAACTACCAAGAAAATAAAACTAGTTGGTAGATTCACACTAAAAAAATCTGGGTGATCATATAAATTCATTGTTATGAGGTTAAGGAAGGACAATTATCTCACAACATACGGAAAATTGGTGAATTTCCTGTGAGATCCATGATTTATGCTTTTGTGAATCTATATCTGATCTAAAATTAGACAAAATATTTATTTGTAGACACCAACTAATTTGAAAATACAAGGGAAGAAATAATTATCTCCCAAAATTGACTATTAAAAATCATTTTTAAGAACAGTACCAATAAACTAAGGACTACCTAGACATCATGCTCTTAGACATTATTTTAAAATCTTTTTTAAGTACTGTACCAATAAAGTAAGGGGTACCTAGTCATCACACTTTTATGTATTATATATTTTAACACAGATTTAAAATACTGTTTCTGGGAAAATTAAGCTTAAATCCGTGTATAGGCAATAATTATTTTGCCCATATACAAGCAATGTAAACAGAAGCTATCAAGGTGATCCATTATCTACTCTAATTTATATCCATGATGGGCTTCTTCCCAGTTACACAATGCCATATTTTAATTCCTCACTTTAGATGGTTAGGAAAGCAAAAAGTAGCTCTGTAAACTTGATCAGCACCAACATACTACATGTTATGGAGGGTAAAGTGAAGCAAGAATATATTCAAGTAAAATAAAATATCTTGACTCATGGGCATTCAAATCCCACATCTCTATATATTTCTTTCCTAACTAAGATAAAGAGCTATAATTAAAATCCCATTTATTATTTTTCTATAGTTCAGAATCAACATATAAAATATTATGAAGGTGAAAATATCTCCCTATATATCATATCATATATATGATGAGAAAGCCACTTGTTACATATGGATATTTCAATTAACTTAAATTTAAAAATATATATCCTTCGTATTTATTTCTAATAGAAAAAAGTAACAGAAATTATTTTACCTTACTCACAGGGACAAGGCAGATTTTGTGGGACTAGAAGTGTACACAACTTTGCTGGTCTTCTTCAACAAAATTAATATAGAATTCCTGATGCAAAGTTAGGTTCAGGAACTCGAATAGAGCATGTCTAAGTGAGGGGCACTGAAGCTCAGGTTTCATTAGCTTCTTGGGATATCCACCTATTACAACAGATGACTAATTTTTAATATTTCTCTGACTATATTGCATAACATTAAAATATTATTACCTTCAGTCACATACTATCATTCATTTCCTGATTCTCTGGACTTCAGTTTTTTTATCTTTCATACCCTATACCTCAATTATAAAAGATCAACTTTAACAAAGGTTGAGTTACTCCCTTTCTTAGCAGTGTATTCATCTGCAAATCAAGATAAAATAATGAGTTTCCTGTAGACTGATTACAGTTCATGAGGAATTCCGTTGTGTAATTATACTCTTGTTAACCCTCTACTGATATATCCAATCACAGGGAGAAACAATTTTACCGGACACATAAAACAAACAGCAAATTTGTTTCAACCTGAATATTTTAGTGTTAGAGAAACCACCATGCCCTGCAAGTGTAACCTAATAAGCTGTCCTAATTTTGTGTCCACAGGGGCTGAGGAGCTACAGTCTAAATGCATATGCATGTTTGGAATTGAAGTCAGTCATCTTCACTAGGACACATCTTTGCTCTTCTAAAGAAGAAAAAGAAAAGGGTTTATTTTCAGCTAACCATTTATAATGGCTCAGTTTTCATTTGTTCAAAGGAATATAATCTAATACTTTTAAATGGGGTCAAAATAGTACCATGAGAAAAATACGTACTGCAAATATTTGTGATTGTGTAAGAAAAATCATTCTTTTTAAAATCAAATTGTGTTTTAGCTTTAGAAGTCTTTACTCGATCTTTCAAAATCACAATTAAGTATTTGAGACTCCATCCCCACAAAAATAAAAAAATAGTCGATTAGCTATTCTAAACACTATTCATTAATTTTGCTTTTCATGCTGTAATAAACTTATGTATATAAACATTTGAATATGCATGGTATAAAGTACAGGTACAGCACATGTAGTAGTAGTATGTGCGTGCATGGATGTGCATATAATATAAAAATATGAGAAAAATTTTACTTATATAAAAACATGTATATATAAGTAAGTGTGCAGGAGAGTTTCTGAACGAGAATCTGCTTTACATACTACCATTTTGAATGAAAAAATTATGGATACTGATTTCTTGATTAAAGGAACTCTGTCTTGCCATGACATGTCCTAAAAATAAACCAAAATACAGCTTAATCTCCATCGCTTTGTTTCTTAATTACTGATTGACTTTTTTCCCTGCTTAAAATGGCATTACCAAGGCAGAGAAATTTAATAATGCAAAAATCACTTTTGAAAGTAAGAGAAAGAATAATTCTAGTTACCTTTTAAATTTGTACTTTTAAAGAGAAATTCAAATCAAAAATTAATTAATTAATTAAATGCTGAGACCAATCTGCCACTGTGACTATAAGCACATTAGCCCCAGGAATAGCAAAGAACTACACAAACTTTCCATGAGACTTTACCAGTCTTTTTTCATTTGGCAAGAAAAAGCTCAGAAAACATTTCTTGTTTAAATTCTATGAACCTAGACTATGGGAAAAAAATAGAAATAAAAAAGAAATTCTTACCTCAAGCAACATATGATAGGGAGACATGTAGACAAATGAACAATGTTTGCTGGAAATAGGAATTATAAATCAAATTTCGAAAACCCTATGCTAAGAAAGGAAGGAGTTGTTACAAGTTTACTTAGAGACCCAAACATTAGGTTTGGCTAAAGAAATGTCAGTCTTGGATATATATTAAATGTTTTCAAAAGCAAAAATTGAAATGACTGAATTGGAAATGCTCCAAACTGTAAGTCATCATTTCTACTTTGGACAATTGTCTATGAACTCTATGTTTGCCTTTAATAATTTTAATTGGTATAATTCTTTCAAAACTCCTTATTTTCAAATGGACAAAAATTAAAGGATGAAATATACTTTGGCCAATGACTAACCATTTTATCTTAGATATTTATAAATTACATTTTAAATTTCATCATTATATTGCTGTCATTTATAAGTTTCACAATATTTCCTTTCCTTTCTTTTTTTTTTTTTTAAGAGTCTCCTCCGTCGCTGAGGCTGGAGTGCAGTGGTGCAATCTCAGCTCACCACAACCTCCCCTTCCTGGGTTCAAGCGATTCTCCTGCCTCAGCCTTCTGAGCAGCTGGGATTACAGATGCCTGCCACTACGCCCAGCTAATTTTGTATTTTCAGTAGAGAAGGGGTTTCACTATCCTGGCCAGGCTGGTCAGTCTCAAATTTCTGACCTCGTGATCTGCTCGCCCCAACCTCCCAAAGTACTGGGATTACAGGTGTGATAACACAGTGCCCAGCCCACGATGTTTTCTAATACTGGCATAAAAACGTCCTCTGAACATAAACATTCATCCACAGTTTCTCATTCTTTCAAGTTTCTTCTTATCAATTTTCCCTTTTGCAAGTTAAATAATAATTAAGGTGCGGAAATTACTGATGAAGCCTAAATATAGAGGTGGAAATTTTCTAGAATCATCAGTTGTAAGTCCTAGTTAGCAGTAACATTTCCTTCTCAATTTTTATGTCAATATATGCCTTTTTCTAATTAATCTGTACAGTTTCATCTGAAGAGATATTTTAACAGAATATAAAATGTATAATGAAAATGCACAAAGTGTTAAAATTCATCATTATGTAAAAATAATAACAAATTTAAAAATTGTTCAGAATTACTAACATTGCATGTAGATGTGATTATAGATATGGGACTATTGTTTAGGATATTTTCTTTGTCGGTGATTTCTCTCATGTTGACAATGTAATTTGAAGGTTTAAAAGTGCATAGGTTTAGATACATTCATCAGGGGTAAATTATTAGTGAAACGGGCGGTTGTTCTTAAGAGGATTTAATACCAAACTGACTCTTCCTCTAAGAAGTGTTACATATTTTCCTGATCAAACTGATGGAAAAAAAAAAAAAAAGAGATGACTATAAAACTTCCTGATAATGAAGAAAAAATATCTGACATAATAAATTCTCAAGGATTTTTACTCAAACGTAATTCCTGGATGTCTCATAAAGCAGTAGCCCCTAGAAACTCCTCTTTAATGTATTCAACATATCCCCTCTGACCTTTGTTCAAAATGCTCTGGGTACAATCCATTAAAGCAGGAGTGTTATCTAAATTGATATCTAAAGGGAAGCAATGCAATGTCAATGTAAAATAAATTTCTTTCTTTCCTCTTGGCCATAATCATGATGTATCCTTTTTTTTTTTTTTTTTTTTTTTTTCAGAATTGAAAACACTTTTCACAGTATAGTCATCTATGGTGTATAAAACCATGTTTACAAAGCCCATATACACAGAAAAAGCCCAGTCTTCAATGAAAGCTTTCTTTGCCATGCTAAGAGATATTGTAGAGAATGACCACATAGTAATTGGCTATTCCGCTAGTCTTTTCTCCTAACCCCAATAGGTAGGTATCAGAGACTCAAGAATTCTGCAACTCATAGAACTGCATATTTGTTTTCTGTAACTACATAGAGTTATAACTAAATTTCTTAGAAATTAGTTTGAATGTGCTAAAATGTATGAATAGAAATAACTGACTCCTTTAGTTTATCACCAAAGTTAGAATTTCCTGGATTTTCAAAAGATGAAGTAAAAATCCCTATTGTGTGTCTTCTCTTGGGCAGATTGCCAAGATCTCAAGTTCATCAGTTCATAATTTATCTTCTTCTGGTACAACTTCCAGAATTATTTGCAATGATCTGGTTATTCTCTCTACAAAGAAATAAAGAGAAATTAAAAATGCATAAAAATCAGAAATGCATAAAAACAGCAAACTATGAATTATTTTGGGTTGAATACCAAAAACACACAACCGCCTATTTCATAGAGCACTTTCAAGAATTATTTACTTCATTAGAATCCTATCATGCTCAATTAATTTATTTGTCACTTCTGTAACTTCCCATGATGGCTTCTCAGCAAGAATAAATTAATATTTTGCATTAAAATAAGGACTTGTATTCATGAACCAGAAGGCTGAAAATATTTTGAGACAATAGGACCAATATATAAATAAATGTTTCAAAAGACACTGCACATTCAGTTTAAACTTGGTTTATTTTTTTCCCATCTATGAGATTACAGCCAGTTCCTCAGAAGAATTGGGAGGAGAATCAGAATGTAATTTTCACCCTCAAACTTGTAACATATTATTGAGAATATTGTCTTATCTCCTAGGGCCCAATTTGCCTAGTCAGTACAATGAGAGTCTAAAAATGAGAGTTAAAGTGTGGTTCCCAGACCAAGAAAATTAGCATCATCTAACATATTAGAAACGCATCTTTCAAGCTCAATCCTAGACCTACTAAATTAGAAACCGAAGATGGGGTCTAGCCACCTGTAATTCTAATTGACACAAATACGTAGGAAGTAAGGGCATCTTGAGAGAGGTTGGCTCCAGTGTGCAGAAAAAGGTCAACCTTTTTTCCTGAGAACCACTGGGCTAGATGATTTCTAAGGCCATTTCATCTCAGCAGAACTCTAATACTTGGTTTCTGGGGACATTCGTTCTTGTTTGCCTCTTTTTTTCTTTTCTTTTCTTTTTTCTTTTTTTTTTTTTTTTTTTGAGATGGAGTTTCGCTGTTGTTGCCCAAGCTGGAGTGCAGTGAGTGTCGTGATCTCAGCTCACTGAAACCTCTGCCTCCCGGATTCAAGCAATTCTTCTGCCTCAGCCTCCCAAGTAGCTGGGATTACAGGCATGTGCCACCACACCTGGCTAATTTTGTATTTTTAGTAGAGACAGGATTTCACCTTGTTGGTCCAGCTGGTCTCAAACTCCTGACCTCAAGTGATGTGCCTGTCTCGGCCTCCCAAAGTGCTGAGATTGCAGGTGTCAGCTACTGTGCCCAGCTGGTTTGCCTCTTATCTTTGTGATTAATTCCTACATACCTTTTTCAATGTCCTGCTAGTCCTGGAGCAGTCAGGGCCTAACCTCTTGATAGTTTCAGACTCAGATAGTCTCTCATCTGTACATAAAATCTTTTTCCTCATTCATGGCTTGTTATTCATAATAGCTCCTTTCAAGCCATTTTTGATGACATTTAAAAAGATATTTTTCTCAACCTTTGATTTTTTTGTGTTTGTCAAAGATGTTGCTCTCAGCACCTTAATTTTACAGTCTACATTAATTGTAAAGGGCCCAGCACAGTCCTAGCAAATTATAAACGCTATGTGAATGTTTCCTAAATAAACTGTGTTTTACACAGCCCACTCTTTACATTGAGATGTAAGTACAGCATAAGGGAGCACCCAAGAGCAATTAAAGCCCATATTTTCAGAAAAGGGAAATGAGAAAATTATTCTATAAAAATAAGCATTTGTGGCCTGGCACAGTGGCTCACGCTTGTAATCCCATCACTTTGGGAGGTCGAGGCGGGTGGATCACAAAATCAGGAGTTTGAAGACCATCCTGGTGGTCTTTCAGTATGGTGAAACCCTGTTTCTCCTAAAAAATGTAAAAATGGTGCACAGCTGTAATCCTAGCTATTCAGGAGACTGAGGCAGGAGAATTGCTTGAACCCAGGAGGAGGAGGTTGCAGTGAGCCTAGATTGTGCCACTGAACTCCAGCCTGAGTGAGACTCCATCTCCAAAAAAAAAAAAAAAAGTCATTTGTGGGAAAAGGAAATATTCATCAATAGTTAAAGAAAATGTAGCTTAGGCAGAGAAGGGGCGAGGGATATGTGACAATAGGTTAAAACAAACAAACAAACAAATAAAAAACCAAGAAATCTCAGGCATCTGCAACAGCCAAATGAAAAGCAGGGGTATTCAAGAGACATCATCTCCAGCCCTGCCTCCCTAGAGAGATCCTGCCCCTAGTCTCCTGAACTAATCTCCATAATGGCTGCCCTCCTCGCTCAACATGAAAGCCTTTTTCAAGTGTCTCTCAATATTCAGGGACCCCAGTTGTCTGCTGTCTTAGACATATCTTGCTTCCCCATGTCATCACATTGCCTCCATTCAGACAAATGAGGGGCAGCTTAGATCCTGCTGCCTTCCTACTGTGTCCTATCTCCTTCTTAAAAGCTTGGTTTGAATCCCTGATTCAGGAGCACACGGCCAAAGAATCGCCCTTCTGGCTTTGCCCACTTTCTGCTATCTTTCATCTTCCTTTGTGTTCAATCAGCGCTGGTGACGACCAACGTGTCTTTCTTATGAGAGCTCTCTTGGAATTTCACGATTTGAATGATTGTCATGGTAATGAAGGCTTCTACAGAGTAATTGATTTTGACCATGAGTGCATGTTGGAGTCACACTAACTTTTCCTTCTAGATTATCTGACAGCAGAGGACCACACAGGGGAGCTCAAGAGAGGCAAGTTTGTCTTTCAAGAAGCTTCCAGCTTGCCTGGGAAAGCTGCAGAGCATGCGGCATTCAGTTGCCATGTCTACATCCATGTTCAAAAACAGTCTTTCCACTTTAAGGGTAATCATCCATGGCACTCTTTCTTTACATAAACGTGTGTTAATGAGTCTGCATTTGGTGTTTTCGGTAACTGTAAGGTTCAGGACCAAATAACAGTTGTAGTATTTTTAGCTTTACCTTTCATGTTCCATAGTTATTCTTGAAATAATTTGAAACAACAACTGACCCTGCAAAATTTGATCTACTCAACCATACCTGGTACCAATGTGGGAACTACAGCAAAAATTGCCTGTTTGTGATGTAGCACGAGGCCATTTTTTTCTGGACGTCATCACAAGCTTAATAGTATTTTTTTAAGGCTACAAAATATTTTCATCCAGCATGATCTCATTTTATCTTTACAATGAAGATAGTTTGGGCCCCTAAGAAATGTAGACAAGTTTAAGTAATTTACAGTCTACACCACAGTCTTCGTGAAAAGTCTGTTAAATGCATTATTCAGCTTTCAGTCACTTATCATAAATGAAGTTATCTTGACCCACTGTATGCAGCATATGCTTTCAGGGCTCTGGAGTTACAAACTTGCTGTCCACAAAGATGGATCACAGTCATTCTGCTGGTGTTTCCCAGTCTGATTTTTTATAATCAACAATTTTGTTTAAAAGGCTGTCTTCCATCTCTCTCCCTGAGCAAGAGGGACCCACTTCCAGTCACTGAACTCAACCCTGTGTCAGGGTTTGGCTGATAAACAGAGACAGCTAAGTGCAACGGCTGCTGTGTGTCCTGGCTCGGGTCTGCCAGGGCTTGCTACCTTTGTGTATTTACATATGTCATTGGGATATCTGCCCCTTTCTCCTCCCGTGAGAAGCTTGTGTTTCTATAAGTAAATAAATAATATAACTAACCCACCAGAAGAATTAACCACTCTGTCACAGATGGCAGAATAAAAGCTTTCTGTGTATCTCAGTATTCCCCTAAGAGCACTGTTTTCTTTTCTCCCTAGAAATGCTACCAAACAAAAAGTGACTCCATACTGGCATCCTGTGGCTGGAGAGATTTATCAGATCTCCGAAAATCTCAGCTCCTCAGATTCTGAACACTCCCTGGCTGTCAGTACTCCGCAGCCTTTCACGATTTTCCAAGTGCTATTTGGTTACCTCTCATTTTTCATGGAAACAACGTAGGTAAGATGTATTTTGATAGACTATCATTTTCACAGGGCTAATCTACTCGTGCATATCAGGGTAAAAATAAATGATCATATAAAGGTGATGGAATTTTACCAGACGAAAGGACATGATATGAAATCATTGAACAAACTGCTCCAAGCGAAGGCTGTTGGTCTCTAAGTCCACACTGGGTTTATCTCTAACAAAAAGATCATAGAGTCGCTGGGAGAAGGGTCAGGGAGCTGCTTCAGGATTCTGTTGTTTGTGTGTCTGTGTGTGAGTGTTTTGTTTTGGCCAAAGGCTAAGAAAATACTTCCTATTGCAGCAATAAATATTATGAATTTTCTTTATTTTACTACAAGAATGCTGCCTCAGAGAAAAATCAAACAAAATTACAGAGGATTGTTGGTTTTTGCTACTCACTTTCAAGGCAGCTATAAAGATAAAGCGTTACAACACTCGCAGTTTAAAAGCAGAATTGTCATGCTCCCTGGTAAGACTTAATGGCATTTTTGAGAACCAAATAACCATTATGGGACTACTCCATTGCTGCTAGTTTCACAAATGGCTAACACTAAATTTGGAGGCCTTGGAAATGTTCAAAACATTATTAGAGATAGAAAAATAGCAAAAAAAAAAAAGTGTAAAAAAACAAAACCTTCAAAATTACATGAGCACCAAAAGACATCAGTGAAGGATCACGCATGAAGACTGCTTGTTGAGATGAACTGATAGAGAAATAATACAAAGCACACATGTGTTTGTCAGCAAGAGGAAAGGACTTCCAAAGGTGGCTGACCCCAAACAGAAGGAACAAAAAGCCTGCTGAAGTGGGGGAGAACAATGGCTTCGCTCTTTCGTCATGCTCCCTCTTATTTCAGTGAAACTCTAGGACCATCAGCTCTTTCTTCCTCAAGGCTCTTAATTTTCTGTGCTGCTCAGGGTTTTTGTTTTGTTTTGTTTTGTTTTGTTTTTTGAGATGGAGTTTCGCTCTTGTTATCCAGGCTGGAGTGCAATGGTGCGATCTCGGCTCACCGCAACCTCCGCCTCCTGGGTTCAGGCAATTCTCCTGCCTCAGCCTCCTGAGTAGCTGGGATTACAGGCACTGCACCACCATGCCCAGCTAATTTTTTTGTATTTTTAGTAGAGACGTGGTTTCACCATGTTGACCAGGATGGTCTCGATCTTTTGACCTCATGATCCACCTGCCTCGGCCTCCCAAAGTGCTGGGATTACAGGCGTGAGCCACTGCGCCTGGCTGCTCAGGGGTTTTAACTGTCTCGGTTAGTAGGGTAGACGGACATAGAGTCCACAGCGATGAGTGCTAATCTGTCCTAAATGTTAGCAATGAATAAAGCAATCCTAATGCTAAATGTTATTTATTAGGCTCCCTTTTCCCTCAGAATAGGCTCTATATTTAGCGTCTAGAACACAGAAAACTTAAAAATATTCCACAGAAAACTAGTGTGATCTGAGAAGAAACAGAGATCAAACACGCAGTTAAGGCAATCATTGTGTCTGTGTCAGCCATAAAGCACCTCATTTGTATAGTAACATTTCTTTGGGGAAACAAGAGCCAGATATAAATAGTAGTATAAGATCTAAAGATGCAAAATTCCAATTGAAGGCTAATAAAAAGTATTAACAAAACTCTGCTTTAAAGAACTGGCTTCTAAATGAGTCTGCACAGCACACTAGAGATTCAACATGCATATCAAGCTTTTTTGTTTGTTTTTTAGTAACAGTGGCATTATTTATTAATAATTTAACCAGAAATCCCCCTAAACTTTTAACTGGAATTTAAAAAATTAATTATGATAAAGTGCGTAAGTTAAAACAAAGAACAATTATGAAAGCGATGTTCTAAACTCCCCAAATTCACCAGCAAGAATAGAGCTGTCCCTCTGGCTATATTTGTTACCTACCTACTCCTCTCTCTCTCCCTTCTGCAAGAGATCCAGTCTAGAAAGAGCATGAACTTAGAAGTCAAGCAGATACGGGTTCAAATCTTAGTTCTATGGTTTAAAATAGTACACTCAAAAGTAAATTCTCCGTTTTCCTGAGCCCTGGTTTTCTCATCTGTACTTGAGAATAACAGCACCTCACACATCAACCTTGTTGACCATTGGCTGAGATGATCGTGTGGATCACATAGGGGAAAGGTCCCAGGAAAGCCTCTGACAGAGAGATAGGCTTTGAACACGGGCTACTCATAAGAACCCTTCCTATCTAGTGATCTCCTGCGATTTCTCCTCCCCCAATTTAGCTGGTCACCAAGTCCTGCTGGTTTTTCCTTTTAGCAGTATTTCACTTTCTCTCAGACCCTGATGATACTGCCTGTGTTCAGAACTCCCATCAGTTCTCATCAGGATTGCTATAGTCACCACCAAATTCCATATTCTGTCTTCAGCCCCAACCTATTTTAATCCACCCTCACAACCCCCAGGGTGATTATTCTAAACTAAAAAACAGCCTGCGTTTGAATTTCAGCTATTCTACTTTATATCTGTATGACTTGGAACAAGTGACATGAATTCTCTCAAGCTATAATTCAAAGCCTATTAAATCGGGATAATAATTTTTCCTGCCTCAGTAGGATATTGTAAGAATTAAATAAAGCCTTGTGCCCTCCCTGTGTCCATGTGTTCTCACTGTTCAACTTGCACTTATGAGTGAGAATATGCGGTGTTTAGTTTTCTGTTCCTGTGTTAGTTTGCTGAGAATGATGGCTTCTAGCTTCATCCATGTTCCTGCAAAGGGGAACTAATTCTTTTCCATTCTTTTTTAAGGCTGCATAGTATTCCATGGTGTATATGTGTCACATTTTCTTTATCCAGTCTATCATCGATGGATATTTGGGTTGGTTCCAAGTTTTTGCTATTGTAAATAGTGCTGCAATAAACATATGTGTGCATGTGTCTTTATAGTAGAATGATTTATAATCCTTTGGGTGTATACCCAGTAATGGGATTGCTGGACCAAATGGTATTTCTGGTTCCAGATCCTTGAGGAATCACCACACTGTCTTCCACAATGGTTGAATTAATTTCCACTCCCACCATAGCACATGGATACCTATGTATACCTGCATGTTCTGCACATGTATTCCAGAACTTGAAGTAAAAATTTTTTAAAAAGAAGTAAATAAGTCATACATGTGCACACACATGTGGAAGCTGCTATTGTTGTATTCATTGTTCTTGTTATGATGATCCTTCATGAGTCACCCTTCCTTTCCAGGTAGGGTACAGTCATAAAGTTTGAGACATTTGCAGGCCACTGCCTAACTCCCCAATAAATCTCACATCACTCCTCAGGTTACATGTTATGATATAGAATCACTAAACTGCATTCAACCCAGAAGAAAAATAATTGGGTTAGTAAGGGATTCAAAGACAGATTAAGTGGTTTAGAGAACTACTGATAAAATTTCATCTAAAACAAAGCTATTTCTCCTAAGAAGTGATTATAGCAGCCCAAACTAATATCCTTAAAAGATTCAATGGCGATACCTTAAACGTCCTTCCTGACAAACAGCAGTTCCAATTAAAATGCAATAGTGTTCTCAAATCATCAGTTGTGCCACTTATATTTTGAAATGTCAAGATATTACGTATGCACACCTTTGTGGGTTTTCTACATGATCTTGCACAAGGTCCTGAAAGTATTGAAAATTCTTACCTGACATTATTCTAAACCACCTGGGTTTCTTGTCCCATATAATAAAGAGATAATATGCAGGCACCCCAGTCAGTGTGATGACAAAGCCAATCCCTGTACTAAATGGATCCGAATAGAGGGAAAGGGCAACCATGAAGAGGCACGTGAAGGAAAACAAAGCTGGGATGAACAGCGGGATCTGAAACACAGAACACAGAAAATGCCGCTTCAAACACGTCCAAGCAACAGAAGCTGGGTCTGAGATGAGCATGGCAGTCATGAGATACACTTTAGTGATCAGCTGTAGTCATGTGACCAGGTGACAGGCACCAACTGTGCCTCACCTTAGTAGCAAAATCTCTTTCATGGCACACAGATAATATATCAAACATACTCCTTTCAATGTAACTCAACTTAATTTAAATTGTTTTTAAATCTTTGAGTAGAACAAAATCTAAGGACAAGAAAGGATATTTTTATTAGAGATGTTCTGTTGGAATTATTTTACTAGTTAAACACCATAACGATTTGTGATTTTGATTGCAAAAGATTGGCTCATTGATAATTATGATTAGAACCCACTTTAGTGTGGCAGTCAAGAGGACTGGCTGCTTGTTGCATGTGAAAGTCTTTCAGTGCATATCGATTTTCTGTTGAGCTTCACAATAAGAACTGACAGGAATAAAACAGGCCAACTCCTATTCAACCGCTAATAAAGATGCTGCCAGCATTAGGCAATGAATATTATTAGAAACAAATCCTGACAACATGAGTGACAACATTATCTATGCTGTTTCCTAAAAGCAAATAAATAGTGAGGTCAAATCAATCCATGAGCGTTCAAGTCTGAAGGAGGTGACAAGCATCTTCTCCAGTCTCCAAAACGGAAACCCTTACTCATGGTAAATGGGTGTTACGTGGTAAATTCATCGATCTTCTCTTTCCCTGCGTATTTTACATTCCTAGTACTTTTGGAGTATATAATATAGAGAAACAGCAATGTGACAAGTCACAGCATTAAGTACTTAAAATGCCTGTTTTGTAGCAGCCACCTTTTTGGAATTGGCATTAATGAAGTGTCCCCCTTACTGCTTCTCAGCATGGCTGTCTACAACCCCAGCACAAAGACAGACAGAAGTAGCCCGTACTTTGACTTGATCAGGTCATTGAACACATTCATGGAAAATCAACACGCCAAACATTCATTCATACCGTCATTTTTCAAAACTGTGACAGACCAAGTTCAGCACATCACACAAAAATTTTAATCAACTATATTTTTTTCAGACTTAAAATCAACCCCGTAAGAAAGCACTGCCTGAGAGCGTTAAACAGTTCGATTCCGCAGGCTGCTGCCCCCAGCCCAACCTCCCCATCGTCAAGTTATGACAACGCGAGGACTAGGTATTAGGTGAAAGATTTATGTAAACCCATCAAGATCGCTGAGGTTACCTTGAAAGGACGATGCATATCTGGGCATTTGTATCGAAGGTAAATCAGCCCAGCAACTGCCAGCCCAATAAAAAGCCACCGGGCAAAACTGAGAAAATTCAAAAGACTGTCGAGGTCTCCAGAGAAGAGCATTATCATTGTCAAAGGGTGCTGAGGAGGGAAAGGGAGAAAAGCCAAGCCTGGTGAGTTCAGTGAAAACACAGAGGATAAACAACCATAACCTCACTATGCATTATGATCTTTCTAAATGATTATGTATCCTGATAAACTATCATTGTGGTTAAAAACCTGGATTTGACTCATCTATTTTCTATATTCTGCTGTCATAATCCATTTACACACTAGTAACATTATGAGAGTGACATCGTCATTACACTTTATTCAAGTGGAATTCTACATGAATGTTGAATTCCTTTTGCATTTGAGAGAAGATAATATGTTTTCAAAGAGTAAAAGAAAGGGTATTCAATGATTCAAAACTGAAAGACTCAAAGATTGGGATGATTACTAAATAATCAATAATAAACAGTAAAAAAGACCCAACTGGAAGATTTGCCGGAAGCTCTGTAAATGCTCTCTGATGAGCTCTGGGCTATCCACACACAGGAAGCACAGACACTCATAGGTGATTCTGTTGGCTCTTGATTGCAAAACTTGATCTTTTTTCCTCCACATGTACTCTCCCCATATGCTTGCCGTGTGTGACCCTCAAGACCACCGAGAAGAATGAAGCACAGAGATCAGCTTAGCAAGTCTCTGCAGCTGCACATGCCAAGGACAGCATGACTGATAGCAGAGGCTTAAAACGAAAGCCCTCTTCGCGGAATAATACATTCTGTTCCCACAAGTGACGTTAACGTCCAGATTCTGCACAGGGAGTACGCATACTTTAAAAAGAAATTTCAGGGAAACACTCTGAAACAAATTAAGTGCATTAAAAAAAAAAAAAAATTCAGTGCATTCTATGGTGCTCCTGACAACAGATTCCAGTTGAGAGAAATGTTACAAAATCATCAGTAAAAATGAATATAACATTGCCAATGGGTATTTGAGGACTTTTACACCTTATACAGTCTTCTGTAGCTCACATTTCACAAACACTTTTCTCTGCATAAAGAATTTTACAACTCAAATTTACATTGTGGTGCTTTTATTTTATCATGATGCTGTGATTAAAAGTGAGACATTTGCGAGCAAATGATAAAAGACATCGGCTCTCAAATGTCTCACTTTAAATCACAGCATCATGGCACTGTCTAGGATTCTATCCATTCTTTGAATAATTTTGTGTGCATTGCGTTACAAGGTGCCTAGACCATACCTCTGGGTACTTTTTAGACTGTAGCTTTTTGTTCGACTTTCCTTAAGCAATTGGGACTTAATACTTTACATCATTTTCTGTGAGGTGCTACGTCTATGAGAGGAGCCAAGCTAGTCATTTTCCTTAGACCTTACACATTTCTGCAAAGGTGAAAGAGAGGTGATGTGATTTTTGCCCCAAAGCGTCAAACAGTCATCAGAAACATGGAGTAAAGGGAAGTGATGGAAGACACCCTGCCTCCCAAACTCCACCGTGATACACATTAGCAATGAAAGAGAAAGTGAAGTACTATCTAACGTCTGGTTGGAATTCCTTTTTGCTAACCTATTATTCAAGGTTATATCTATATATACTTGTTAATATGCATTACCAAAACAATAACAGCTGGCAGAGGAGTGTGCTTGCGGACATGAATCATGGAGAGGATTTCTGGAAGGTGACCCTCTCGAGACGCAACATAGAATAACCTGATGGGAGAGAAATGTGGGTGGAGTTGACTGCATGATTGATCATTTCAAAGGGAAAATCCAGAAATCCCAGAGAAAACTTGCATCTTTTTCATACCAAGTGGTTCGGCATTTCTTAGGTGATTGCTTATGTTTCACTTTTCAAATAAGGTGGAGAAACATCATAGGAAATCTAAATTTGAATTTTGCAAAATCTGCCAACATTATATTATTCTTTGAAGAGAAAAAATAGCAATATCTGACTGGGCATAGCTCTCTCTACATATAACCCGCTGACGGGGAATTTAGTTCTAGAGTCATAGTGTTATATGTGTGTCGTGAATCCAATTCAACAAACACACGCATATGCACATCCACAGGCACACATGCACGGGCAGCATTCACGTTTATCTGATTGGGTTTTAATCTTACATTAAAACAAAAAGAATTTTGCATCAAACTAAACAAAGGAAATACAGATGGTGGGGTGTTGATTTCTGATGTCTCTTACTTTACTTTTTTCCTGGCATCTTCAGAGAAACAGAAAATTATGTCACCAGAAATAAAATGCCGTTGTTAGACTCTGTGGAAACACTATTTTTTAAAAAACCACATGTCCGTCTTCCAAAAAAGCTATTAATAGGCAAGCAGTGCCCTCTAGTGGACAGAATAAAACGTGCTGTTGATACTTAACACCAACATTCAATCTTGCATGTCCCTTTAAAAACAACAGGTTTGGAGGCACTATTTCTTTTCTTTTTAAAGTTACCCTTATCACATCCAATCTCAAAAACAGAAATGTGTTTCTGGAAATACATGAACTCACTCACCTGGAGACAGCAAACACACCACCATTCATGGAGCCAAAGCAGGAGAGGGCAACAAAGATCGGAACTGCTAATGAGAAATTTCCCAGTAGCCGCTCAGAAAAGGTCTAGTGAAAGAAAGAATGAAGCAAATTAATGCTTTGCCAGAAAGTGGAATAAAATGAAACAATTTAGGCTAAACTTGCTCTATGACTTTCTATTAGCCTGGTGATACTCGGATGTTTTATAATTTTTCTCTTTGGTTAGGGTTAGACTAACTCCGTAGACAATAATCAAAAGCAAGGACCACAGCATTGCCTGTTGCAAAACCACAGGCAAAGGTCTAAGCAAGCACCTTCTTTCTACTTTCAAAAAGCAATGATCCATTTATTGCATCTTTATCAACTATGATGTGTATTGTCTCTGACTCTGGCAAGTGATAAAAGCTCAAATCAGAAATTCGACTTCTGGAGATAGAAATCTTTCTGTATAATAACTTCTCTTTAGCCTGGAAAACCATATTTTCTAGTGAAGTACATGGAGAAGTATTACAGATACATGTTTCATGTGCCAATCCCATGATTAGGAGGTAAATAAGATAATTAATGACAATAATTTCTATCATATACATGATTAGCTCTGAAAATATTTTTCCCAGAAAATCACACTAGCTAAACCTCTGTTTATAAACTCACTCCCTCCCCGTTATGTATCTGTCAATTTCTTTTGTGGTTTCCTATAAAAAAGCTAGAAAAAAAGTCCAACAAGCCACAGAAACTTAAAAGATAAACACAACTTCTAAAATGTCATTTTATGCCATGATAAGAGCAATATTGCAAATTTCCATGAACGATGTATTTTCAAAAAAAAAAAAATGTGTTGGATTCATTAGTTGTCCTTGAAGCAGCTGGCGCTATGTAATTAGTGGGCTACATCATGCCCAAAGAGTAAGTGCTGCCCTTTGTGTTGAAAGATGAGATGACTGACCTGATTTCAATAAGCTTTGTACATTTGATTGTCTGGTAGGACTTAGAGCAGTGGTCAAAGTCTTTTTCAATACTGTGAACTCATATACAGGTTCAAATGACATGAGATAATTTATTCTCTGTAGATGCTGCTGATATGAGGTAATACCAACTATTTTAAAAGGATCTGGTGTCAAGTAATGGGTCCTTAATTTTTCACCCTTCATTGTTATGAGGTCAAGAGTGAATGGTCTCTGACTAGCTAAGTTTTATGCAAAATAAAAGTATGTGTCACAGAGTAACAGTCTTATGATCTTTGGGGATAAAGATGGTCCCGGTATCAAATAAATTTTAGAAAATACTATAAAATTATAAAATACTCCACATCTTAAGGAGTTAGAACCCATGTTGGTATCTTTAATATTCTGAGAAGTATTATAACAACAACATCTGTTGAACTTTGAGTAACCCAGTATTTCCTAAATTCATTAATATCCCAGGACTAGTATTCAAAACGATATACTAAGAAAACTAAATTTATATGGTCCACATCAAAATTCTTAAGTGACACTTGGGGCAAGGATTTTGAGTTTGCATTTGAAAAGTTCACAAACAGGAAGGTGTACAGAATAAATTATAATTTGCATACAAAAATGCATTTATTTAGATTCAATAACGGTCCACCGGGAGAATAATGCCTTCTATTCAACAAGCCTCGGCAGATTTTCAAGCATGTACGTGTAAAATTGTTTAATGAGAAATTAGAAATAATGGGAAATCATATAGGAATTTAGATGTATCGGTTAAATAGAATATGCTAAGGTATGCTGTAAATTTTTTAAATATTAATTATTATTCAGGTCAAGAAAGATTACTGAATTTCAAAACACTTTCTGCTACAAGGAACTACTATAAAATTGCATCAACTCATTAACCTAAATTCCACTTGGCATTTTCCCAGTTTGGACTTACCACTGCCACTGCATTTGAAAGCAACAACTCCTCAGCATTAATGGTCGTAAAGTAGGCCACATTTGTCAGCACATAGCCAATGGTGACAATGACCATGGATATACATATTGCAAGGGGAATGGTTCTGAAATGCACAAAGGAATCACTTATTCGTTGTCTTATGTTAGTCATTCTCTGATACTGAAGAAAATAGCCTAATTCAAATGAAGAATATAATAGTATCTCCAATAATTATAGGCTCTGCTGGGTATGTATACACATTTCATCAGGGCAAAGAACCACATATTCCTTTTGCAACTTAATAAGGTCCATGGGGGCAGATACTTCATCTGTCTATTGCTATACCCCAGAACATATGGATTTAATCTCATTCAGGTACTCCATAAATGCTACAGCAGTGTTTCTCAAACTTGAGATGCATCCGAATCACCGGTAGGGCTTGTTAAAACACAGACTGCTGAGCTCCACCCCACAGTTTCTAATTCAGTAGGATCTGCATTCCTCATACAGTCCTAGGTGATTCTGAGGCTGCTGATCAGACCACACTTTAAGAACCACTGTCCTATAAACATTTCTAATACTAATTCACTGCCTCGACACCTTTCTAACACTAGTCCTTAAAAACATTTTTCACATTCAATGTTTTTCCCATCAGTAGCTTCCCTTACTACCAAATAAATGCACGCTTTCGGAAGCATGATAGTGGGATACATCTACCTTTCTGAATGTGGCAATATTTTTGTATATAACAAAAGAAAGCACAGAAGTGTTCATAATGATGACTTTGCACTGCCCTGCTGTAAGTTCAAAGGAAGCTCAAGATTGTGAGTATCTAATAATGCAACAGCGCAGATAATCCCATGAAATTAGAGGTGACGTGCTGTGAAGTACCGACGACCGGACAGTGCTGACACAATGTGGCATCAAAAAGTCCCCGACACAAACGCAGTATTATGTCTTCATTTAATGCACTGGGAAAGCCGGGAAGTTACTGACCCTAATAATTTGATTCCATGTTACCAATACACATTACTTGCTTAACATAATCGCCTCTTCAGACTCTTTCCAGTTCAGGCAACTTAAACCTTCAACTGCCCGCACAAAGGCTGATCGTTTTTCAGCCATAGTGCTTATCAGCCCTCATGGAGCCTTCACCCTGCTGGATGCCACTAATGAAGACCTCAGTAGAATTTCTTCCAAGATGAAAATGCAGCTCAGAATCAGGAGCAGGAGGGTGGCGGGAGAAGGCACAGGCTGCCTCACTACCCAAGCTGGGTGTGTTAGCACACTAAGTCCCAGCACATTATTCGGAACAGCGATATCCCCTGTTGAAAACATGCGAACCTCGCCAGTCAGCAACTGTCATTCATTATACTGCTTGGAGCCTGACACTTCCCCGGATTCCCAAAGCCTTCAGCCTTGATGGGGAAACACGTTGACCTCTAAATCCTGACATCCTAATATAAAAGTAGCAGATGGTCCCCTTCCCCAGCGTGAAGAGGGTCCTGTGGAATTTTCTGTTAACACCATAACATGGATTGCTAGTTATGATTGATAAATCCTAAATTTAAGTAAAGGAAATCACTCAGCCAATCAAATATTAAAGGATGAATGGCATAAAGCAAATTAAAGATGAGTTCTGTTTCTTTGTAAGAAGGGCTATTGTAAATGCAAAAGGGTAAGAAGGAGAACATGAAGGTGTATACACAGCTTTTCAACCACTCACTGTATTATTTTGACCTTGAATCCTTTCAGCTCTTATAACATCCTCATACGGGAGTAAATATTTTCTATGGAGGGAGGGGAAGAGAAGAAAAGAAGAAGAGAAAAAGCTCTGTTTTTTTGCAAGCATATGATTAAGGTATATAAAAGTTCCATTACTAAATAATGAAGTGACATGATTAATTGCAGTGATAGTACTGTCACATCACACGACGCTGCAAAACAGCAGAAAGAAAGAAGTCTGACATTTGGGACTGTGGCTCTCCCAGCACAGAATTTATCTTCCCAGTCCAGCTCCTCCAAGTCAGCCTCTGCCTATTCCCTGCCTAGATACTACAGTCTCTCAGAGGGCTGTTTCCTAAATTGATCTAAGCAGAAGGGATCCTGGAAAATCTAACCTTCTAGGTTGGTTTCCCTTCATTCTGTTTGTTAATAACAAAAACAACAGGAGCAGCTGCTACCATTGGGCTGCAGTGTGCCTGACAGGCACTTTACAGATGTGTCTCATTTTGTCCTTAGAAAATCCTGTGTTAGGAACCACTTCTGTATGAGAAAATAAAGTCTTCAAGAGCTTAAATAACCATTTAAAGATGCACAACTGGTAAGTGGAAGCCCCAGAATTCAGGTGCATATACACCCTACATTGAAATTTGGGCATTTTGACCACCAAAGTGTATTCACTTTCAAGCATGTGAGTCCCTCAACTCCAGCACTTTTAAGGACAATCATAGTTATTTAATAAAACGTTTATTAGAGCTCTTATCAAGCTAGTATTTCTCATGTATTCCTTGACGCTACAGTTTCCTCTATTATAAAGAAGGGGACAAACTTATTTCATGATTTTTATCGCTTTTCCATGTAACATGAACTGTAATGTTAAGTGAATGTTTTCAAATAATTTCACTGTTCAGAAAACAGAATTTTAGAGTTACATATTGTTTAAAATAAAACGGAAGCTCACAATAAATTTCCCTAAAAATCATTTTTTATACAAAAGGAGGGAAGGTAAGCATGCATCAGATAAGAAGAAACAGACTAACAATTTTACTATCAGCCAAATATACTATACAGATATTAGTGGGAAAAATAACAGCTTAAAATATAAACCAAATGGAAAGCGTCTAATCTTGCTGCAATGCACAGCATGTCCAGTAATTTCTCTATAATTATTCTTTAAAGACTTTTTTTTTTTTTGAGATGGAGTCTCACTCTGTCACCCAGGCTGAAGTGAAGTGACACAATCTCAGCTCATTGCTACCATAGCCTCCCAAGTTCAAGCAACTCTCCTGCTTCAGCCTCCTGGTAGCTGGAATGACAGGCACCCATCACCACATTCAGCTAAGAATTTTTTTATTTTTAGCAGGGACAGGGTTTTATCATGTTGGCCAGGCTGGTCTTGAATTCCTGACCTCAAGTTATCCTCCCACCTCAGCCTCCCAAAGTGCTGGGATTACAGGCGTAAGCCACCATGCCCAGCTGATAATTAGATGGAATTAGGCAATGGCAAGTTGGATGGGGTATGGAGAAATAGCCACTAGCTTCCATTCTTAGGTTCCATTTCACTTTGACAGAGGGAAGGGGCTGGGGAGGCTCTCTTGGCTATCTTGACATAAACTGCCATTTTTGATAGAGAAGAGCACTTTACTCCTTCAGAAGGGCTTGCCCCCCAGACAGTTAACTCTGGGTTTCAAGTATCAAAGTGTAAGAGCAACTGGGTGAGCTGATAAAAGCTATTAGGCCATGCCAGAGCAATCTTTCCAGAGGCTTTAGATGCAGAGAGCAGATAGCATTGCTAGTAACCCAAGATTAAGGCAAATGGCACTTGATAATGAAAGGAATTAGAGAAAGGAACAAGTCGGCCATGGATATTTCAAAGCTTCTGTGTTCTTCTGAGGTATCTACCAATCTCAAATGCAACAAAAGTATTGTTTTTAAGCTGAGTAAAAAGGGCCTACTCTTAATAAAATTACCTTCTATTCTTTCTTAAATGTTAGTACATGTTTGTTATGACTAATAAAAACCACTTATAAGAGTGACTTAATCCTAAGAGCTTTTTGTCATATATGCTCTTTTCAATTAACAGGCGTTTAAGTATGTGAGAGTCTAATATTTTTATTAGTTGCAAATGGTCTTCAGTCAAAAAGGTCTTGGATAGTCTTCTTTCTTATAGGCTTATTTTAAATTGGCACTTATAACCAGTCTATGTCACACATATTTGCTTTATTTGAAATTACTAAATGGAAGTCTCCAAAACATGTACTTAGAAGTACTTTTGCTCTGAATGATAGGCCTCCCCAGAAATGAAAATGGCCCTATACTTAACGTTTGTATAATCTACAAAGCACTGAATGGGCAAATACATCTTATTTTATTTTTAAATACATGCATGTCACTTTAAATCATTTGTGGAATGAGAAAGAGCATGAGCAAACAAACTTTGCAACAACCCATGGAAGTAGGAAGTAATAGCCACGATTTTAAACAAGAGAACCAAAACTCAGAAAGGTTAAGTGACATAACCAAGGTCACAACAGCAGCAAGTGGGAGGGTTGGAACCTGAATCCACGTCTTCTGGCTCTAAGTTCTACACACATGGTGTATCTTGTCATGAGGTCATGGCTGCTTTGTGCCTGCTTTAACTCTAGGGACAAGGTCCCCAGGAACTTTGCATGCTGACAAACATGTACTATATTTTATATAAATGAGGCAAATATTAGAAGACTAATTGTCAAGGTGTGACACATTTTAAGCCAAGTATCTTTTTCTACACGCCTAATAGTAGAAATAGCAGAAAAAAACATTCATGCCAAAAATAAACTTGTAAATAATGCAGAATAAGGTACATTTTTAAAAGCGTGCTTTGTGACTCTATCATGGAGCATCAGAAATGACTACCGTTTCCAGTGCATCATGTTCGCTAAAAGTAAAAACGAAAATGAGTAAACCTAACTTGATTCTCCAGAAAAGTCAAGGAAACCTGAAGGCTAGAAGGATTTCTGACATTCAGACCACATGAGTTATCTAAATTACATGAATAATTCTCTAATCACCGGAATTTAGGATATTTCAAGATGATTTTACAACACAAATAAAATCTTCTGAGATTTGTGCAAGTCCAAATAGATCATATACAATCCCCTGTGTTGGATACATACAATCAATGGAGGCCACAGAACTCATGGATCCTGGGGCACCTGGCATTGTCTTTGCGCTGTAGAACTGGGCATGATGATAGGCAGTTCTGTTAAAACCTACTCTTGTGTGTTCTGGAGAGAAATGCTTGATGCCTCACATTTCTATTTAAAAATTCTTAATATTTTAACAAACGTACTTGGCATTCAGAAACAAAAAAAAAATGAAAAAGAACAAAAAATGACAAATAATATGTAAGGTACAAAAAAT